GATAAACTGACAAAAACAATAAAACCTGGAATTTCACTCTGGTAGGTCGACCGATCAAAGAAATTGGTCGACCAATTGGTCCGTAGGAAACTAAAATTTTCCTTCTGGACAATCGACCGAAAATGCGTATCGGTTGACCGATTGATGGAAGTTTGAGTGTGCATGTTAGTGCACGTTGCCGACCAGTCGACCGAAGATGTACATCGGTCGACCGGGCTAGTGCTGTTATGAATGTTGTTTTCATCTTCGTGCGTCTGATTTGCGAACACAAGGTGTGAGTCATACGTCGATATACGTGCGTAACCAGGAGAGTGCATGTATTAGGTTTGAGTACGTACGAGCCTCTTTATGAGCATAGTATAATAGTTTGTGTCGTCATAAGTAACAATTGTTTTAGTTACAATAACGGTGGATGCCTGAGTGGGGTTAGTTGGTATACTACAATGAGATCGTGGTAGACTACACTCAGAGTGCGTTAGTTGGTATACTGCAATGAGATCGTGATAGACTACACTCTGTTATATATTATTATATCCGCATGTATATGCGCAGGGGTCAATGTACATATATTATTGTATCCACATGTATATGCACAGGGGTTGATGTACCTATATTATTATATCCACATGTATATGCGCAGAGGTCGATACGCCTATATGTCGATCCGCACGATGATGCGATGGGTTTGTGAAATTTTGTTATAATAATTTTATGAAATAGTTGATGGCCTGAGTCATAGGCGGTTACTAAATTTTTGATATGGTTCATTTGTTGAGGTATTTCACATGGTGGATTACACAGGATTGTGTACTGGTATTTGTTTTATCTACCAAAGGGTAGTATGAGATGTTTGGTCGACATTTATGACATTATTTTTATTGGTATTTGCTTGTATTGCTTTCCTTCTTTGTTTATTCTTTATTGCTTTCCTTCTTTGTTTATTCTTAGTTTGGAATTGATTTTAGCGATTCATAATTTGAGATATATGGTATATATATGAGGGTTTCCTTATTTAGATTATTTCTCTCAATGTATCAGTCTCGTGTTGTGGATTTCTAAATATTAATCCCAATTAGTACAGGGTAAATGATTTAGGTAGACTATGCATATTTAGGTAGAGCCTCCATTATAATTAGTAACCCTTCCCCTAGGGTGGATGGAGATGGTATTGCTAGCGCTCTGATGTTGTTGATTTTCCTTCTTTTCAGGCAGCTGATCAGAGTTCTGGAGAGCCACAGGTTGACGGAGTTTCTGTATAGTTGCCGTCATTTCTTGATAGTCAACTTATGCTCCACATTAGACTAGTAGTTGTTTAGTTGATTTACAGGCTTGTATTTTATTTTGAAGGATGAGAGCCTATGTACTTTTCAGTTGACTCTTGTATTTGAGATTATTTACTCCTATTTTAGTTTATTGGATGTATATCTTGTTCTTCAGCTGAGGCTTATTATTTATATTGTTGGAATATGATTTTAGTTATTTATAATATCTCTTCTTCTCATTGTGTCCCTTATATTCTTTCCTTTCTTATATCTACTTGTACATGCACTGTTTTTATTTGATTCTACTAGAGAGAATATTACTGTGATGGTGAAACGTGTTGTTGCACAGTGTTGGGTGCATGGCAGGTTTAACATCTCTGGGTTCATCTTGGACTACAGCCACGTGTAAAACCAGGGGCATCACACTCAGAAACTCATCGAGATTAGAAATTTGTTTTAAAATAGTACATATATATCTCATCATATCTAGTTATATTGACTTTCAGTTTAAAAATCCAAATTTTAAATTAGAATGTGCTATGGACAATAGTTTTGAGATTAAAGTACACAATTAAGTTATAATATAGATGCAATGTTGATCCCCCGAGGAATGTGTATAGGAAAAATCCTAAATTGGATGACAAAGTTGTGTGTGGACAAATAGGAGTGAAAGTTAAAAAGATGTAAATAGTGTGTGATTATTTACACAGAAACGAATACTAGAACAAGAGGGGAGAAAGAGAGTGAATGAAAGAAAGAAAGTAAAGAATAATAAGGAGAAAGAAAAAAATAGAAAAGGACAATAAAATCATGACTAAAAAAATTAACCAAAAAGAGGAACAATCAATTCAACTAAAATATGGAGGAAACTAGGGAGAATATATGAATCCAGAATTGAATCCACTAATTAATTTTATTTAGGATCTATAAACTACCATCTCTTTATCATATTTTACTTAGATTTATTAAGCATAAACTATCAAACCACTTAGAGAAAGCATTACCTATCAAATTATCATTCAACTAAAATTATCATTCATAAAAAAACAATAATTAGATAGTAATTCTAGAATTCATAAGCATAACCTATCAAACCACTTAAGATATGCATAGATCACCAAATTCTTATTTTATCAGTAAGTTCTCTAGTTGATTATCCTAAACATGATGATTTTCAGCGCAAAGAGAGCAACTCACAAATCATAAAAGAAATCAAACTAGCTTCATATAATTCTAAAATTCCTACAAGATTTAGTTGCACATTTTAAGAAATAAAAGAAAAGGAATAAAATCTAGACTAGAGAGCATAAAAGAAAGAGAATAACAACAAAAACTAACTATAAAGAGAAGAATAAGGTTAAGAAAATAGAGATCTAAACTAAGAGAGTAAAAATAAATCTATATTATAAAAGAAATTTATAAGAAAATAAATTATACAAAGCATAATAATGGACAATAAAATAAAGGAGCATGAAAGTAAATCTAGACTACAAAACATGAAGTAAATCGAAACTATAAGAGATGAAGTAAATATTATCTACCAACATAAAAATAAAGAGAAAATAAAATCTTAAAACATAAATTCCTAAAATAAGAAAATAAAAGAGAAAAATAAAAGCTTACATTGTAAGGGGTTGGCCTCTTAAAAGCAAATTTTCATCTTCATCAACAAAGAATAAGAAATAATATTGAAAAGGGGAATTTTTTTTATTTATTGCAAACTTAAACGTTTACAAATTGGAAGACCTAATTAAAGGCCCCCATCTCTAAAAAGAAGTTTACAAAAAAAATTCACACTCAAACCCCTCGCCATCTACCATTATTTATAGCCTACGATAATTAATAAGAGCTCTTGGATCAGCCTTGGACTCCAAGAAATAAATCCCAACTGTTTTATAGTTCAGTTACGAATCAATCGGTTGACCAATCGGTTGGCCAATTGGTTGGTTAACTAGTTGGCCAACCAATTGGACAATGGGTTGGTTAACTGATTAGCATCTCTAAAACTTGCCACTCCAGAAAGCTCTGTCTCATCGAGATAGTCGATTTTTATATATCATATGTCAGATTTTACTTTCTGGATTGGGAGATAATGTCATTTTTTGGAGCTGATCATCCTGAATATGATTTTATCTTGATTTATTTTCTTATTGGATCTTTATTTTTGGGGTTCTATAGACTGCTTGGCTTGATCTTGGGCTTCAATAAAAGATTAAAAAATAAGAAAGTTTGATTTCTTTTGGGTTTCTATTCATTCATTAATTCTTTATTTCCTAAAATTTAAGATAAAAACACGTTTCTGGCGATTTATTTATTCAAATAGAATAGACAATTAGGGTATAAACATGTAATAACAGGTGACGATCAAATACTATCAACAGTAATAGTACAGTTCATCTGGATCTTATATTATTTTCTACTATATAAAGTAAAAACCCAAAGGGCTTTTCATATTGGTGCCTTATATTTTCAATATTTTGTATTAGTCCCTCAAAAAACTGAAATTGCCAATTAGTCCCTCAAATCCTTTTAGATACTTCAAATTTGCCCCTGGATAGCTACCATTTGATCTAGGAGAAATACTCTATTTAACTTTACTTTTGTCATGTGTTTTTGGCTATGTCTCTTGTTTAATTTATAAGAAATCTAGACCCACTATTTTTATTTGCTTTAAAACCAAATGCATTTCCGAACAACTTAAATTTTGTTAAACTTGTTTCTTTAAAAAAAATCTAAATTTTTAGCGCGAGGTTGACTAATTGTGTGTAGAAATGTGATTCATCGTCTGTCATTGACAACTAACCCAATTCGGAAATTCCCATCTAGACGGTGAAAAATAACAAACCGTCATTCGAACAACCTACAAACTACAAAGGGGCTTGTCAAGGACAAAATAGTCATCCAAAGCACGATCAATGGATCTACCAAAGCCACATGGACCCACAAATGTAAAGGACGCAAGTCTACATGGTCTAAAGTCAAGGCAGACCAAGAATCGATGCAGAAGTTTGCCCAGAATCGCCTAGGGCCCCTTGAGAAGAAAAACAATTTGCATCGTCCCTCATTTGAGATCTTAATCAACTTCAACCACTTGCAAACAAGGACAACAACTTCACTTGTATAGTCAATGGAGCTCAAAATCAGGGTCTATTGGTACGCGGAGAGATCCTAATAAAACAACAAAAGGGGGAGCAACCCTCCGTTGAGTGTTTGAAGTCCTCTAAAGAAAGATCACCATCTCTCTTATTGAAAAACTACGGAAAACATCATGTAAGCAATTTAGATAAAATAACTAACGCATGGGCTAATTTGATATAAAGTTGAGGGGGTAGGGTTTATTTGGCTCACAAAATAATACTGAAAGCCAATTTCCAATAAATCACACAGGTCTTTTTTATTAGTTTGGTTAGCTCATTTTTTTTTTTAGAAAAGTAGGCCCAAAAAACTCTGCCATGTCATATTTTCAAGAAACCCAATTTCCAAACGCATAACTCGGAAATGAGCTAGAAATATAATAATTTACATTAAAGTATTGAGTTGTCTCAAGAAGCTCTTTTGCTGAACCATGTTTCAAAGCGGAAAAAAAAAAAAGAAAACCCTTTCCAAGAAAATCCATAGAAACTGGTCTTAGCATAGTTTTCCTTTTCGAATTCATTAGGGAGTTAACCAAACAGCCCCTCAGTGGCAATTTCAAAGATTTGAGAGAGACAAATATGAAACTGTTGTTCTCTATTTTCTATCAGTCATGGGCCACTCCATCCGCTTCATCCAACTCGTTTTCTCTTTCACAGCTTTCTCCAATCTACAGCTTGTGGCCTAAATCTGCTCACACCCAAATCCCAAAATTCTCAAAAAATACCAACAAATCGCAGAAAACTGAAGAATAAACTGAGAGAGACCAATGGCAAATTCTCTCCCCGGCGTCTGTTCTCCATTCTTATCCTCATCCTCTCATCCAAAGCTCTCCCTCCCTCATAAGACCCATGCAAGAAGTCAGAGGCCGCCATTGTCTTATCCTCGCATAAGAGCTCTTGATCTTGACCAGGACACTGTAAACTCAACGACATTATGCTCTCTGTTTCAAGATTCAACCATCATATTTGTTGCTGAGTTTTGTTGAACTTGCAGGTGATAGCTATCACTGTTGGTGTTGTTAGTGTTGCTGTGGGCGTTGGGATCCCTGTGTTTTACGAGACGCAGATTGATAGTGCTGTAAGTTTTTTTATTCATCTGCTGGGTTGTTTTTGTATTTGCAACTTTATGTAAAATTTGAATTATTTATTTATTTATTTATTTACAGGCTAAGAGGGAGAACACACGGCCTTGTTTCCCTTGTAATGGGTCTGGAGCTCGTAAGTTCTCCGTAAATTTGCTGAATTTGTAGCTTCTTAGCAGTAGTATTTGGGAAATTAGATTGGATTTACCAAGGATTTTATGTGCAAGAATTATTGTTGGTGATACACAATAACTGAAAATTTGACAGTTTAAGCTTTTGGATAAAATTATGTCTTGACATGGGCAGGGCTTTATGAGATCCTGGGTTTAAACCGTCTCATCACCATATTTGACGTGTATTTATATACATTTTATTCTGTTTTTCCAAATTATATTCAAGACTGGAGGCAACCATTTTCATAAAAGCTTGGACATAATACTGACACATTTCGGGGAAAAAGTGTTTTTTGGTAGTGGAGAGGATCCGAATCCATTTTCTGATTACCCCTTTTCGTAGTTGTAATATGGCTAGTTTCATGACACTGATCTGTTCACTGAATCAAAAGGAAGGATCCTCTTGCAAATACAGTTCGGTATGCTTAATGGAAAAATAGAACCTAACACACTCGATGCATGATTTTATTTAAAGTTCCGTGGTGCATAATCGATCTCTAGATTCTCTACTAATTCATATTAGACGTATCACTGCTACATTCAACACCTGTGCTTGGTAAAATGTCAATCATTTGAGTGATATTGAGAGAAATATACACATGACATTAAATAGAAACAGTTGAATTTTCCAGAGCAATGCAGATTTTGCACAGGCGTTGGTAATGTGACTGTTGTTCTTGGTGGAGGTGAAACTGAAGTCTCAAAATGCATCAACTGCGGTGGCGCAGGTTCTATAACCTGCACCACTTGCCAAGGCACAGGAATTCAGCCTCGCTATCTTGATCGCAGGTATTACATTGTCTCATTTAGGTTAGAGCGAAACTTTTTTATCCTTTCACCATCCAGAGGTCTACTTGTCACCAAAAAAAAAAGGCTGTGCCTCCATCCCCTCCCATTTTTTTATGAACTAATTCTCAACCATCAAAGGTTTATCTTAACATTCTACAAAATAGAAAAAGTTTCTTCATAGATCTACCCTTCATCATTTTGACAGATGCTGACGAGGTTCATTTATTTTTTGTTACTAATCAGGGAATTCAAGGACGATGATTAAGCTCGATTTTTGAGTAATTTATACTTGGGACATAGAGTTTTATGAAGATCATTTTGCCAGGCACGAAGATTTAGTCTGTGTAATACCCACTGAAGCTTTATTTCATTACCGAAGGAAGCTCTTGTTATGTGCAGTTCTGAGTTTTGTTTCCCTTCTCCTTTTCCAAATATGTATGGATCAATGACATCCTAAATATGTTTTTCGTTATTACGTATAACGTAATAGTTATTTCTGATCATGTACATCAAGAACTGAACCATTTTATTTTCCTGAATATAAATGATAATTGTTCAATCCTCATGATTGAGGAATACTATTTGAGAGACAAAGCAGCGCAACTATGACTGTAGCTAAACTATGCAAGAAACAGTCTTTGGTTCACATACACGCTATCAATGCTGAGATTGCTGTTTTCTGGTCTAACGAACGATGATGATATTCTGTTATGTCTCTTAAAAAGAATTTCAAGAACTTGGATCCTGGAAGGTCGACCATGACGCTGCTAGTTTCAGCCAATCTCTAAATCTCTTAAATTTTGTCGATGTTTATCGTTTACTCCGGTCAGATGGCCAGCAACTAGGCTGATGACTATATATGATCATGGGTGCCGAAATGCCCTCATACGTAGGAAATATCCGAGGTGAGCAAAATATCAGTTTGGTTCAGGGTGACAAAATTTTCATCAAACGAAGCGAACTGTTCTAGAATTGGAACTGTATTGAACCTAATTAGTTTATTTCAGTGCAATCTATTCGATTTGGCTTCGACCAAGTTAGTTGAGAAAATGAACTATTTTGGCTCGCAAGGAAAGCGTAAATCAAAGGTGTAAAACCCCGTGAATTTTGAAAGAATAGTGTGATTTATATATTGATAAATGAGCTTTAATCATGATAAATATCAATTATATGAATTTTGAAAGAATAGTGTGATTTATATATTGATAAATGAGCTTTAATCATGATAAATATCAATTATAGATGAATGATTATGCTAACAATTGATTTGAGATCAATTAAGAGTATATATGAGAGTATACAAAGGTTAAACATGCACGAAACAAATAAAACATGCACAAAGAAGAAATCTGGAAAAACAACCAGTTAAGAGTATAATGCATTACACACTGATACAGTTCGAATCTAGAAAAACTCAAAAGACAAAAGTTGTAGTTCTCTTTAATATCTTTCCAACGCATCTTAAACCACCTTATTCTGAGGTCGGAAGAGAAAGTTACAGCCAAAATACCAAAAACTATTTTCCTAGTCTCACTGGGTTTCCTGTTTCGGGGTTGGGCTGTTTTGTTTCGGGTTTGTAGCTATATATATATATATATATATATATATATATATATATATATATACGTGTTTATACATGAAAAACACATCTTCTCATCTGTGATCCAAACCCTAGCAGCCCCTCTCCTCTCTTAAACCCTAGCTCTAAATTTGTGATTCCGGGGAAGTTTTGTGAGGCGGGAAGCGAGGAGAAGGCGAGATTTGTGGCTTTTGGCAACGGGGGATCGCTTCATGATTATTTCAGAGGGTTGTACACGTGATAAGGTAAGATCACCTCCCTCCAAACATTTCTCTTAGTTAAAAACCAAGTTTTTATGTGATAATTGTGTTTAATCTCATGTTTAGGGTTAATCTAATGTGTTAGAACCTAATCTATGATGTTAAATCTTAAAATCGCTATTATAAACAGTAAAATAAATTTGTAATTGTCGAGTTATATGATTATGATCATTAGGGTTAATTTTAACATGTTAATTTCAAATTAATTTGGTTTATATGCACTAATTTCTCTAGATAAATAAGAATTTAGTTAATTTGCATGTTAAACCCTAGATCCATGAGTTCATATTGATTTTATCTTGCTTAAACAAACTCCTGGTTAAGTGTTCATGAGTTCTAAATCAGATATGTTAATAAAAACCCGAGTTTTTGAAGAAAATACATAGAAACCCTACCTGTGCACTTTCTGTCGGTTCAGTCGACCGATGATGTCCATCAGTCGACTGACAGGAGGTCATCAATCAACTGATGGCAATCATTAGTCAACTGACGGGCTCGTGTGTGCCTTATTTCTGTGAGCGACCCGATTAGTCGACTGAAGCTTTCTATTAGTAGACTGGTCAGATTCAAATTGTGATGTTTGACCCTTTTACATGTGGGTCAATGTACGAGCACGTAAGGCAAGTCGTGCGATGTTCTATACATGTATTTTGAGGAGTACACGTATGGAGATTGAGTACGTACAAATCCATTGTTCAGAATAGCAAAATAGTTTGCAATCATTATGAGTAACGACTATTATAGTTAGGGGGTTATTCATTGGGGGTACTTTGGGGCAAATTAAGTTAAATTGTTCCAATGAGATAATTTTACCCAATGGGATAATTTGAGTAGGATAAAATGAGGTAAAATGGGATAATGAGACAATTTGAGTGTGACAATTAGTATGGCATCTTTTTATAATATGATATTTATAGATCAATTAAGTTCAAGTTTAACTTGATATAACATCAAATGATTAAATAAATAATAGTTATAATATAAAATAATATTATTTTTAAGATTATTTTAATATAAAATATTAAAAATGATATAATAATAATAATATTAATCAATCTTTGTATATTTTGATGTTTATTTTAACTATTATGCTATATTAACAAATTTTTTAATTACAATAATTATTTAATCATTCCTACATCTATTACAATAGTGATGATAAAGTCTTAATTATTACAAATAAAGTCTTAGTCAGTAACTTAAATCTTAATTATTACAAATATAATCTATCGGCATTTAACTTTGCTCTAGACTCATTAGGCTATGTTTGTCCCATCCTCCCATATTGTGTTTGCCATTTGTTCTCTCCAACATGATGCAGCTGACCGCTATGCTTGTTGAGTTTGTAGGTCATCGTCCTCATCAGAATCACCATCAATTGTAGCAACATTGCGTGGTGCCTCAACATTTGTTCTCTCCAACTGTTCTGGTTACCTAATCACGCAGAACTAGAGAAAAAGCGAGCAAACTAATGCAATACTGAAGACTAATTGTCTTAGTCTTAATGATAAGATTAAATAATATAAACACAAGAAGGAAACACTGGGAAAATTTGATGTTCCCCCTTTTAATCTTCATTTATTTTATGATGAATCAACATAACAACATCTTATGCCCTTTTTTCCTGTGGTTGGGTTGTTTGTGTGCCACAGTCTAATATTTTTTTCAAAATTTTTTGGTGAAGGACAATGGACATACATACATACATAAATATTTTCTATGTTCGAAGGAGAAAAAGCATTCATCTATTGAAAGTAATCAAGATAAGTTTATTCAAGTATATAGAAATTATCACGATACCTCATGGACATAAATACCACTCCTTATGTAGACCAATCTTAACAAATTGCGATGAAATCTTCAATGCATTCGTATCAGTAATACACGTAACCAAGTGGTCGTATGCATCCTTGCATAAACTAAACTAATATGCTTGCACTTAATCCTAATTCTATGAGTTCCTTGACTTGGATTTGAGCTGCGATGCATTATCAATTATGTATATCACTAAGTTCCACATATTGTCAGAATATGTTATATCTAAGATTTGTGGGTTTATTATATTGATAGAAATTTACTTGCTATCTACATTTGAACATTGTTTACAGTATACAAGAACATGACATTAGACACTTTCTTAATGCTACTATATACATTTATTAAACTTCTGAATGTGTAATCACATATTTTCCTTGTCCGCAATTTACTTGCATCACTCATATGTTCAAGCTTCTACTGCCCACAATTATCAAACAATTAATTTCATATAGAGTCCACGTGTAACTAACAATTCAACAAATCAATCTACCAAATGTATTATTAAGAAAAAAATCATATAAATACTGAAAAAGTACTAAAAATTAAGAAAATATTATCACATAGATCCATCCAAAACCTCAGCTAGCTAAAAATCCTAGATTTCAAAAAAAAAGGAGAGAAAAGGAGATGTTTAGAAAAGGAGAAAAAACCCTAAATTAACTTTAAAAAGGAAAGAAAAATTGGGGGAAAAGGGCACGTACCAAGCAACTCTAGATTCGAGAGACGGTTGAGGCAAAGGAGGAGGAAGAGGAGGAGGAGGAGGGATTAGCGTTGGAGGCTCTGGGTCCAAGGTGGTTGAGGCGGCGGAAGAGGAGGGATTGGAGTCGGAAGAACGCGATGGAAGAAGAAGAGACGTTGTGGGGAGGGTGAGAGGGCAAGATTACCCAGGTTGTTGTTCCAATAAGCGATTTGGGGTATTTTGAGGGTGGGGTCTGAGGATGTTTATATAGTTGGGGTAATTTTAGGGGAAGTGGTGTATTTTTCCCACAATTACCCTAACAAGCCAATAACACTGTAAAGTTGAATCCATACCCAATTACCCCAATGAATAACACCAAAAAGTGTTGTTCCAAAAATTATCCCATTATCCCTAAATTTACACCAATGAATAACCCCCTCCCCCTATAGCTTTTATTGAGGATGTTGAGTGGGGTTAGTTGGGGCTTGCAATAAGGCTGCGGATGGACTACACTCTGAGTGCGTTAGTCAGAACCGTAATGAGACCGTGATGGGTTTCACTCCTTTATGTATTTTTGGTCCGCACGAGCGTGCGCAGAGGTCGTTGAACCTATGATTTTAGTATGCATGGTTTTGCGTAGAGATTGGTATACATATTTATGGTCTGCACGGGGTGTGATGAGTTAAAGAATTCCAGAGAAGGACGATTTGATAAATTTTATGATAACCTAAGCGTAGGTGAATATTGACACTCGTTTGATATGATCTATTGTGAAGGTATTTCACAACTTTGGTACACGAGATAGTGTATTGGTACATGTTTTGTCCACTAAGGGTGGTATGAGGAGTTGGATGACATTTTATTTGGAGATGATTGATGTATTTCTTTCTGTATCGTTCTCCTTTATTATTTTATTCTTAGTTGGAATTTATATCTAGAAATTCACGACTAGAGACACATGATATATATATATAAGGGTTTCCTTGTTTGGATAATTTCGCTCGACGTACCAGTCTTGTGTTGTAAATTTCTAAACATAAATTCCATATAGTACAGGGTAAAATGATCTAGGTAGACTATACACTTATAGGTAGAGCCTCCATCATACTTAGTAGCCCTTCCACTGGGGGCGGATGGAGGTGATCTTGCTAGCACTCTGACGCTGTTTATTTCACTTCTTTTCAGGCAGGAGACCAGAGTTTCGGAGATCCGTAGGTTGACGGACTTTCAGCATAGTCACCGTTA